ATATGCAATACAAATAAACTTTCTACAATGTCAACTTTTGAACAAAGGTCTAGATTTCACATGGGAGTTTGATAAGACTAACTCAAACGTCCAATTTTACTGTAAACACACGACAAGTGAGCAAAGATCAGGCTTTGAGAGCCAATTTTACATGATCTATTGAGAGCCAAGTTTACATGAGCCATAGAGAGTCAAGTTTACATGAGCCATTGAGAGCCAAGTTTACATAGGTCACTGACAACGTCAACAGCTGATGGACGAAGTCACGTGACTTTATTGACCTCCGCGTGAAGCCACGGCGATGAGTTCAAATAACATTTAACACCATTTGTACAATTCTTAATTATTATTTTTTATATTTCTACCCAAGCGTCCAACACACACAGAGGCGTGGATTGTGAACACTGCACATGGTCGATCACGTGACTCCCGTAACACAATACGCCATCATTAACGACAGATATTTGCAGAAAGCGGTCTCGGGAGTTAGTCGACCCCTGACCCCGCTTGACCTTGAATTACTTTTCGTACCGCGCGCTGTAGGAAACAAAAGATGAGTACTCCATAAGATCGCCATCCACCCCCGCCACGCAATCAGTTTTCATCATGAGGGTACACCCAATTCGCAAACAAACCCGACCCCCGCCATACCGGTTAATGAATAAGCTTGTTCAGGGGTCGAAATCAATTTTTCTTTTTTTCTGCGACAACTTGTTGGGGGTCGCGCCAAGTGTCCACGCCGGTTTGTTCAGAGGATACTCTCGCGGGTATTCCATTTTGCTTGGATGGGATTTCTGTATGGCCCTAACGAGCCATCAAACTTCGCGAGCCTAGAGGGCGGAGAGCTAGACGCGGGGGTAGGGAGGGGGGGGTAGCGCAAACAGCGCCTTCAATACGCGCTGACGATGGGAGTGGTGCTTCAGATGAAGAACTTTCTAGAAGAGATCAAAAGGCTATCGTTGTGTTTGTACGCTGTGTTCCCGTTAGACGAAGGACCTCGGAGCCAATTACAATCTTTTCAGCGAGCACACGAAGGGGAAGGAACTCTAACTGTACACGATTTTAATTCAGAAATAACTTTGTACTTGACATGTTGTCCCATTATTGATAAAATGTAAACTCTTGACAATATACAATATATATATATATATATATATATATATATATATATATATATATATATATATATATATATATATATATATATATATATATATATATATATATATATATATATATATATATTCATTTATATGTATATTCATCGCTTAATTATTTCAGACCTCACTTTCCTATAACATTCTTAACAGTTTAATCACTTTTACGTATTGTAGATGCACTGAAAGGAAAAAAAAATCCTTACAGCCAGGCTGCAATACGTATTTACATTAAACTTTGAAAGAGAAAAAAAAGTTCCGCTTTACCGTGAAGCCCAACTCCCGCCCATTGCTACGCCAATTTAAATAATTCCACCTAACTTGTGCTTTTCTATTTATATCCGACATAAATTATCTTTAATACGAAAGAGATCTTTTAATATCGGCATGAATCGATGCGATTCTGCTATCATAGTGTTGTTATACGCAGACTATATCGCAGTTTTCCGCTAGCTAAATGTCCTAATAGAAAGATTGTTTGAATGGTACACATGGCGCATGCGGGCTTCCATAACAATTATCAGGGGATTAATGGCCAACGTGTCAGCTTATCCGTGTTGCGACAAACGCTTGGAATTGTGGGTGATGTATAATGTGCGATTAAGGGCGTGATGTGAGGAGCTGGGTGGCCGTGTGGTCAGATGGGCAGTGGGTCAATTAGGCATTGGGGATTAGGCTTCAGCGTGAGTCGTATTGGGACGTGAGTTGGTGAGTGAGTGTGTTTATGTGCGCGCGTGTGTATGTATGTATGTGGAACGAGAATGTTTCTATGTGTACGACTATGAGTGTATGCGTGTGTGTTTGTGTATATAATCTGTATTCTGTGTATGTATGTGTATGCGTTTGTGTGATATCGTGTAGAGTTTGACGTATAAATCGTGTGGCAATGTGTTCGCTAGGTACTCATTACCTCATCCGCAGTATAGAATATACACAAAAACGGTGGTTGCGCTTTCTACTTCTAAATGTGACCTTCAATATATTGTATATATATATATATATATATATATATATATATATATATATATATATATATATTATCTTAGACGTTACATGCATCGCGGATGTAATCCTGTGTAAAATGCGATACCATCATAATATCTCTAGCAGGCGAGATCGTAGACCTTACTAATCAAGTCTGCTATCTGATGTGTCGCTACACCTCCACACTATTTATCCCCAGTATTTCTCTCTCTTGAAACTTTTAAACTCTTATTATTTCTCTCTCTCCCAATACTAACTCATCTAGTTAACTGTGCGCTAGAGATGAGGGGGGAGGGATGTGTGTGTGGGGGGGGGGGGGGGTGAAAAAATCAATGCGCTGTGATGACAGACCCTCGGTTTGCTCATTTAGGGGGCGTGGCCGAGTGACGTGAATTAAGATGAGAAAGACCGCTAATCAGTGGCTATTATGAAATTTACAGCGGCCATGGGGGGATGGGGAGGGGAGAGGGGGGAATTGGGTCATGTTTGAATGTTGACAAACGTATTGGTCACTCAACCGTGGACTGCAGGGCAGGCAGACCGTAGGGTATATTGTAGGCAGGGAGGTTGGACACAGTAAGGACGAATGGACAGAAACAGGAAGAATGGAGAGACAGGTAGATTGGGCATAAACAGGAAGAATGTGCATAGGAAGATTGGGCATAGCCAGGACCATTGACCATAGGCAGTAGTGAGAAAGGACACAGAGAGGAAAGATGAAAATAGACAGGAAGAATGGACATAGGAAGTTTGGAGAATGGACATAGGAAGTTTTGACCTACAATGGGCAGTGAGAATGGACGACATGAGACTCTGCGCATGGAGGATGGACTATAGGATGTAGGATAGACATATAGAATGGTGCATAGGATATAGGATAGACATATAGAATGGTGCATAGGATATAGGATAGACATATAGAATGGTGCATAGGATATAGGATAGACATATAGAATGGTGCATATGATATAGGATAGACAGATAGAATGGTGCATAGGATATAGGATAGACATATAGAATGGTGCATAGGATATAGGATAGACATAGAATGGTGCATAGGATATAGGATAGACATATAGAATGGTGCATAGGATATAGGATAGACATATAGAATGGTGCATAGGATATAGGATAGACATATAGAATGGTGCATAGAATATAGGATAGACAGATAGAATGGTGCATAGGATATAGGATAGATAGATAGAATGGTGCATGGAATATACGATAGGCAGTGTTGACCCACATGAGCTAGAGTATGACGGGAGAATCCACCATTGGATATAATTTAGATGGATGCCACTGTTGACGGATTCATGGATACTTTAGACATGGACTATAAGCAATCAAATTATATCACCGTCAATAGTTAGCCATCAAAATCTGTATTCTAATCTAATCCAGGCAAATAGGTGTAGTATTATAAAACTGTAATACCCGCTTTCCCTTTCTCTCTCCGACGCCTCAATAATAAACGTAATATCTAGCTTCGTGTAGCGCTAAGCAAACAGATTAATGTTAATCAGTTAACCCGATTATCCCGTTCCCGTCTGTTCCGACACGATTGTAAAAGACAACTAATTGTGCACGTTTGAAATGTTACAATTTGTACGCCGAAAACAGCCGTGGGCTTGTCGTTTTACATCGCAGACGATACTCCAGACTAAGGCCCGTTTGAATTCATCACTGAGAGACTACGGCGCTGGGGTTTGAATCAACCCCAGACTTTCGCGTCTCAATAGAGCGCACGGTTCACGAAATCCGGGATAGCGCGCAGTAGTTTTTTAATATGTTCTTTTTCCGGTGATTGAGTCAGACGATTCAGATGCAGGGGGGGGGGGGGGGGGGGCACGAACCCTGCAATTGTTTGAACGAGGGGGGAGGAGCGGCGCTTAGCAGCACGTCGTAGACTAGGCGCCCGGACGGCCGAGAAAACGACGATTTTCCGCTTCGGAGTTCGACATTCAAAAGCCGTAAACGTACCCTCTGGCGTAACTCCGGCTTTAGAAGCGGTTTTTTTTTAATATGAATCCTCTGTTTGAGAGAGACAGAGAAAGAGAGAGAGGGAGAGAGAGAGAGAGACATGGTGTATATTATGTTAGGTAAACGAAGCAAGGTTGGCTTATTTGTGATGATTTTTTATCTGGCTACTTAGTCCTGGTTGCCTTAGCTAAAGTGGTCGCCCTTCTTGCTCCGTGATAGAAATGTTGGATGGAATGTTGGATGGGAAGTGGGTTTTCCCAAATGTTGCGTTAAAACGTGGTTTATGCTTCGTTTTCCTTGAATACTGGGTGATTAGTAGGGCAAAATAGGTAACAACTTTTGTTGATGTTTTGGATAGTTATTTGAATGTTCATCGAACTTTTAGTTTATCGTATGTCTACTTTTCTAGCCCATTGATAATAATAGTTAGGACAATAATATTATAAATAATATATCAGCTTTATAGAAAGATTGATGGAAAATTGGATGTGTGTATGGATGCATGGATAGATAGACTGACAGATAGGCGGAGGGAGAGATGAATGGATGGACAGACGGACTGTTGCCAGTCATTAGAGTGAATGTTTACGAATGTGAATAAAATTCACCGCTGTTAAGACAGTTTTAGCACATATTTCTCCAGAAATAAATAGCATATTCATGAGGGGAAAAAAAGTTAACTTATTGAGCCGGAATCCCGCGAGTTATCTTATCCGTACCCAATTGAACCGGAAGTCTAAAAACACAATAACAGACTTTCTTCATATGCCACAATATCAAACATCTACAAAATATAACCGGTGAATATATTTGACCAGAATTTAAAAATTGATCTGGCCAATACAAAAGATATAGACGACAGGGTTGCCAGCTCACCTGTGTTTGGGTAAGTCCAAGAGACGCGGCCAGCTCCGCACGTTCAGGCAGTGCAAGGTACTGAGTTCTCTGGAACCTTCTGTTGAGCTGTTGAAGCTGTAGACTGGAGTATATGGTGCGCGGTTTTCTCATCTTCTTCCCTTTTCCGTTTATCCTTAACTGGTCGTCCACTTGACTTTTGTCTGGTTGGGAGAGGTAAAAATACAATGGTTAAAATATAAGGAAATTTAAGCAAATATGGTATCACGTGAATTAGATTTATTTCAATTTTTAAGAAGTGTTACAGAGAGAGGAAAAAATAAAATGGTTAAAATATAAGGAAATTTAATCAAAATTGTCATCACGCGAATTAGATTTATTTCAAATTTTTAAGAAGTATTACAGTTTTTTTTTTAACAAAACAAAGTCGAATTTGCTATATCATAGGTATCCATAATATAATGTTGCTTTTTAAATGCTTGCTAAAATGTTAATCTTAAGTTTATTTTAGAATACACTTGTTAATGTTTTTTTTTCCAATGCTTTTTTGCTTTGTTATGCATGTAGTGTGTCTAGAAAATGTTCAAAAGTGTTTATTTCATCTATGATATACAGAGGTCGTGTATTTTGACATGGTTTTCACTGTCTATGTAAACATTGTCTAGGTACACACTGAGCTTGTACACACCGACCAAATACACACTGACCTAGTACACATTGACTTTGAACACACCTACTAGACACACGCACTGATCTTGTACACATTAACCATGTACACACTACGTACTCATTCAAATATTCCCAGTCACTACCTAACTAACACAACACACAAATCACAACGACATCATATCACAGTCACTACCTAACTGATACCACAAACAAATCACAACACAAACATATCCTAGTCACTACCTAACTAACATTACAAACAAATCACAACGCAAACATATCCCAGTCACTACCTAACTAACATTACAAACAAATCACAACACAAACATATCCTAGTCACTACCTAACTAACATTACAAACAAATCACAACACAAACATATCCTAGTCACTACCTAACTAACATTACAAACAAATCACAACACAAACATATCCTAGTCACTACCTAACTAACATTACAAACAAATCACAAAACAAACATATCCTAGTCACTACCTAACTAACATTACAAACAAATCACAACACAAACATATCCTAGTCACTACCTAACTAACATTACAAACAAATCACAACACAAACATATCCTAGTCACTACCTAACTAACATTACAAACAAATCACAACACAAACATATCCTAGTCACTACCTAACTAACATTACAAACAAATCACAACACAAACATATCCTAGTCACTACCTAACTAACATTACAAACAAATCACAAAACAAACATATCCTAGTCACTACCTAACTAACATTACAAACAAATCACAACACAAACATATCCTAGTCACTACCTAACTAACATTACAAACAAATCACAACACAAACATATCCTAGTCACTACCTAACTAACATTACAAACAAATCACAACACAAACATATCCTAGTCACTACCTAACTAACATTACAAACAAATCACAACACAAACATATCCTAGTCACTACCTAACTAACATTACAAACAAATCACAACACAAACATATCCTAGTCACTACCTGACTAACATTACAAACAAATCACAACACAAACATATCCTAGTCACTATCTAACTAACATTACAAACAAATCACAACACAAACATATCCTAGTCACTACCTAACTAACATTACAAACAAATCACAACACAAACATATCCTAGTCACTACCTAACTAACATTACAAACAAATCACAACACAAACATATCCTAGTCACTACCTGACTAACATTACAAACAAATCACAACACAAACATATCCTAGTCACTACCTAACTAACATTACAAACAAATCACAACACAAACATATCCTAGTCACTATCTAACTAACATTACAAACAAATCACAACACAAACATATCCTAGTCACTACCTGACTAAACCCCCAAACAAATCACAGCACAAACATATCCTAGTCACTACCTAACTAACATTACAAACAAATCACAACACAAACATATCCTAGTCACTACCTGACTAAACCCCCAAACAAATCACAGCACAAACATATCCTAGTCACTACCTGACTAAACCCCCAAACAAATCACAGCACAACCATATCCCAGTTACTCTCTTTGCTCTAAAGTCAGGTTCCAGAAACAAGATCAACCGATATAAAAAAAAAAAAAAGCAAAATACGACATTACAATTCAAATGTCACTTTCCTCAGTCGATTCCTAATCAATTCTATTTTTAGCACGCACATCTTCATTCGACTTCATTACCACACTCCTTCAATCCAACGAAACGATGTCTTCTTTTTTTTCTGTTTCAACTTTTTTTTTTTTGAATTGACATCAAAGACATTAGGATCCAATTGGTTGGGAGATTCTTACAAAAGGTGGGCGTCACCCCGGGACTGAAGGGTTAATTAAGGTGGGAAAACTGAACGCCGAACAAAATGGCAGAGGCGACGCCCATTCCGGCAGTTGACATGGCTGAGTTTATTAGATCCACGGTGGGCCCGGGGGGTCGGGAATAAGGGGGTTGGTGGCTGATCCGGATGGTGGGTCATGTTGCACCGTGACATATTGCACGAGCTATTTCAGCGGTGACAATAGATTGACCAGGGATAGAGTTACGGTTTAATCTGGAGGTCTGAGGGTTAGAAGGGACAGAGTTATTCTAAGCCTCGGTCTGAACGATCTGGAGAGGCATGTGACACTACCCTACGCCGGTAGAAAAACCTCCCACTTCGTGTTTTATGGGGGGAGGTGAGAGGTGGGTTAATTTGGTTTCGGTCGCGTGGGGAGGTTTATGGTAGGGTGTAACAAGTGGAGCCAGTCCAACATCTGACAGGCTTGGTGGTCTAACATCTGACAGGCATGGTGGTCCAGCATCTGATAGGCACTGTGGTCCGGCATATGATAGTCCAGCATCTGACAGGCATGGTGGTCTAACATATGTGTGGGATGGTGGTCAAACATCTGACGGACATGTTGGTCCAACATTTGACAGACTTGGTGGTCCAACATCCAACAGTCTGGCATCTGTCAAATTCTATATTACAACTGTTGGTCAAGTAAGTTGGTAAGACTCTATAGTACAACAACTGTTGGTCAAGTAAGTTGGTAAGACAATCAGGTTCACAATGTGGCTCCAGACCATCCAAAAGACACGACGGTCTAATATCTAAAGCAATCTATCGACAAAGTGACCAGCATCGCATGTCCAGAATGCTATAAATCATATCCCATAATTATCGTCTCGTCCATTATCGCTCTGACACAGCTGCCTCCCATCATCATCATCATCATCATCATCATCATCATCATCAACATCATCATCAACATCATCATCATCATCATCATCATCACATTCATTCCTGTAGATCCCTGGTAGTGCTAAGTGACGCAACCACATTCTCGATTGTACTCCAAAGACAAGCCAGCATCCGTTATTTTTAATGTTGATCTAGGATTCAATTGTTGTATTCAACAATCATTTTTCGTCCATTTAACTAATTCGTGCCTGGTACATCTTGATCCAGCGTATGAAAGAACTAAACGAGAGACAACAATTTTTTTGAGGTTGATGATCTTTCAATGCAGCATCTGCTTGCCATAACGATCCATCATCCAACAACCCAAAACTAACCTCGATCTACGCATTCAACAAACATCCGACAAACGATGCAGCAAACAACATTCGTCTACTGGTTTTCTACGCATCGAGCAACAGACATGACACCAACATGGCGGCCAAGATAGCATCCAACAAGACGTGCCCATGGTCCTTCCGCTCAGAGTCTTCAACCGCTTCAAAAAAACGCCACGTTTCCCCCAAAGAAATGTTAGTTTTGCGACTAATTATAACAATTAACCAGAGCGGGTGGGCATTGTGCAAGCTTCACGGATTAGAAACTTCTCGAAAAAAAAAATCTTTGATGCTTTGTAGATCGATGCCAAGCGGAGGATTCCCCTCGAGAAATTGGGACTGACTTGCCGCGAAATTATTGCCTTCTGCTAAGTATTACCTGTAGATTACAGCCGGCTGCTGGGTCTAAATACGGTTAAACGTACCCTGTTAAACAGTGGTTGCGCTTCTGTTCTATATTTTGCGCGGCGTGAAATCCCGGAATTCGCGAGATCGATTTTTTTTCGTCTTTTTTCGTTTGTTGTTTGATTCGTGGTTTTGTAGCGATAAAAATTTGAAGTGTGACCAGATTCTTTTCATGCTTACATGCCCCATTTAGAACCTTAAGAAAATAACGGCTTAGGGTTTTGTTTATAAATTTTCACGATTTAAAAGTTTTGTGCCCAGTTGTCAAAGAAAACGAGTTAGATTTTATATTTATTTCATGCAGAGGTAGCGGAAGAGAGGGCGCCCAAGACAGACCTGGAGGCGGAGTCTTCTCGAAGAACTGAAGCCAATAGGGATGTCTTGGTAGGTTGCAAAATTAATAGCCTTGGATCGGAAGAAATGGAAGGAAATGGTAGAGGCCCTATGTTCCATAAGGAGCAAAGAGGACTTAGTCAAATCACGTGGCGGACAGCATGTTGTAAAGACCTACGTCCAAACATGTACAACTTAAATTATTCAAAACTTTAAGATAGGAGACTGTTAGCCATGCCCTTAACATAAGAAGGCTTGGTATTGCCGATAAATTCAACCTACAAACCTAAAGCCGAATCCTAAACTTAGCACGATACCTAACCCTTAACTTAACTTTATTGATCGAGTGTGAAAAAACTTTTCAGAATATCTAATGTGGGTACGGCTAATCGGTAAGACCAGATAATCTGGCAGATTTTTAGATGGGTTGAATGGTTTAGTGCCAAAGAGGATTAGTTGATCAGAAGCGGTCTAGATCATTCTCCATGTGTGGTTGTCTTTGTGTGTGGGGGTGATATTGGTGGGGGGTAGTCCTTGGTATGTGGCTTAATGTGTGTGTGTGTGTGTGTGTGTTTGTGTGGAGGGGTGGGCCCTTCAGATGCCGTTTGAACCCACTGACGGATTTATCGCTGGCTAATTATTCCTTGTAAGAGGACAAGGTACATTGTGTTCGAGACCACACACACGCACACATACACACACACGCACATACAAACACACGCACGCACA